CGTGGACCGATCGAGAGGGTAAAGGATCGTTCAAAGGTGCGCGAGAAAAATTGGATCGGCGAGAAATCGATGGGAGAAGTGGAAGTGGGTGGAAAGTATCTCGTCAACGGAGGAAGAAAATTGCATAACGAGCGCTGAATGCAAGGATTTTGAAAGTAGCTCCAGAAGGCCAGCCCGACGCGATGCGTCGACGCTGCTGACGCAACGCGCCTGGATGCGTCTCACTTTAAGCACGTGAGTGAACCGTTTTCTTTCATTTTCCACCAGCTCGCGGGGGAGACGTTTCTCTCGCCCTCCCTCCCTCCCTCCCTCCCTCCCCCATCACGACCCCCGATTAAAAATGACTCGAAAGGGATCGGATGGACAAACGATCTCCTCGTGTCCGCCACGATACTCGGATACTTGAACGTTCCCCGTTGTGCCTCGTGATCGTACACACACGTGCGCGACGCTCTCTCGAATCGTCCTCCCGATATCCACGCGCTCTCCACGATCACCCCCTTGCCTGCATGCTCGGTGGTGCGGTGTGCCAGTGTGTCCCGTTGGTGGTAGTGGTCGCGAGTGCGCACGCGACGACCGGTGGTGAATGATCCTGACTCCGGGCTGACAAAGGTTTTCGTACACGAATACTGGGATGACGTCCGCTTCGGATTACGCGCTCTCTTCACGATCTCGTCGCTCTACATCGTCTAACGCGCAACCAAATGTAAGTGTTCTCTGTACCCGATTCTTCCGCCTTCTTCTCTGTCTCCCCCTTCGTCTCGCCCTCGCGGCGATCAACAAACGCTTTTCTTTCTTTTTCTCCCCTTCCTTCCTTCGACGATCTTCCCTTCCATCGACGATGATATCTTGACGCAAACGCGCGAGCGATTAAAGGAGAGATGATACGTACTACTCTGGCTACGTATATATTCCGGCTACTCGGATAACGGTACTTTGGCTGGCAGGGGGTGAAGCGCCAGGAAAGCGATACGCGAATAGAAGACGCTTGAGAACTAATATTTCTTCTTTCGAATCGCGCATCTTACGAATTTTATTACGAAGATCGAGATGATTTTAGTTTAGTTTTGATATTTTTTTCAATCTTTGCTCGATGATGCAAGTACGAGGCATCATTTTGTAAATTGAAATACATATATATTTCGCAACGTTTGATAATCGATAAAGATGGATGCTTTTCTTTTTTAATCTTATTGGTCAATTTATTTCGAATTTCGTAAAATTTCGTCGTTTACGTCTTAAAAGATACTCGCTTAAAAGATATCTTATTACGAATTAGATATTTGATCTATCATTTTCCGAGATTCGAGAAACGAACAGATACGAGAATGAGTTTAGCGACGGATCTCGGTGTTGGATGTAACCGATGATAGAATTCTGTTACTTGGCTTGTTATCGAAAACGATGGATTGTCAGTTGGAAAATCAAACGATACGTGGACGATAAGCCAACATATTTTAGATAAGCGAAACGCGCAATTAAAATGCTTTCTGAATGAGACTCGTCCGATTAAGCAACGATCGCATAGACTGTCTGGGTCCCAACACCGTTCCACTTTCTTCCGTATTTCTCTCTCTCCTCTCTTATCTCTTACTCTATCCTCTTCCTCCGTTTCTGTCGTTCCGAAACAATCTTCGATCGATGCGAACCTTCCTTTCCAACCTCTTTCTTTCTTTCTTTCTTTCTTTCGAAACGATAAATCAAAAGCAGGATCGTTTTCTTTTGTCTCCGTAAGATGGTACGGTTGGCTTTGTGCAATTTCTTATCGAAATTCTGATTTTTCACGGTCAACTCGATCTCGCTTTTATCGTGTAAAATCGGTAAGTGAGGCAAAGATTTTCAACCGCTTTTAAACCGTTACTCGTATGACGAAAAATTCAGTTTATATAAGAGATAATTTTCCAAATCTTTCTCATTCAATTGCGTTAAACTTATTCGTAACGAATATATTTGACTAATTGCGCTATATTCCCCAACGATAGATCGGTCTGTTATTTTTACATACATCGAACACATGTTCCGATAACGTAATCTGTCTCCACCTCGTGTACGTCCACGATAACGAACCGGTCAATTACATTTGCTTCCAATTATTCTTCCTCCTTTATTTTTTAATTCGAATTTTCAATTCGAGGCGACGAACGAATGTATTTCGGACAAAAAAGAAAAGAGAACCGGGAATTCTAGGGACATTTTACGACAATTTTCTCCGTGTATCGACCTGGATACGGACAATGTTCTACGAATGTGACGCGAGCCACGATTCGCGTTACAAACGCGCAAACATTTTAAATACTGGAGGCATACATGTGCTAAGATGAATAACAAGCGAACACAAGAAAGATTTTAGCGAACGTAAGTCCGGTTGTACCGATCCGATGATGCACTTCGATCCATTATTGACGTGCGTCGCAAGAATACGCAAAGTGAAACGTTTTAAATCTTGTTCGCTGGTATTGTTTGCAAATCGTTTCGTCGATTCGATAAGCCTCTCTCCTCAAAAATTTTTATAAATTTTCTTACAACCATATATACTCGCGCATAAAATATTTCGAATCGTGAGCGGTTCTGCTTTTTTAGTTTCTCTTTCTCTCTCTCTCTCTCTCTCTTTCTTTCTTTTTTTTTTTCGACAGAGTGTATCGAATAGTAGCTTATAGCGATACAAGTACGAGGGCAATCCAATCAGGGAAAACAAGGTCGCGGTAACGATATTATCCGCCTCGTGTCACGGATTGATATCGAATACTATAGAGGTAAGGCTTCGTCGAATAGCTTTGAGCATCGTGGACGTAACACCGTCCAAACATTATTTTCTAGAATCGACAAAATTTCGATAAATCGCGATTTCTATTCGCGGCTACAGATTTAATTTTGATCTTATCTCGTCCGAGCGAAGGAACACGGTGGCAAAACGTATCGTGAGAAATTCGAGCGAGAAAGTTTTTCGAGTCTCTCCTCTTCGAGTTTCAATAAGTTTCCAATTACGGAGCTCGACTCCGAAATACCGAAGAGCGGCTGTCGATCGGAATGGAAAGTGGAGGATTCTCGACGTGCTCTAATAGAAGATCCATTACCTTTATCGTCGTTTCAACGTCCGATTCCACCCAACCACTTTGTCGCCTTCGATTGGGTAACGATGGAACGAGAGTTCACACGGGAGTGAGATTTTCTCGGAGATCGAGCGGCAATTTCTTATCGATAATTTGGTCAATTACCAGGTTCGATAATGCGTGGCGAGTAAAGGTTCTCGTTTACGAGGGTAATGGTATTTTTCCCCCTCCCTCTTTCTCTTGGTACCAGGTGTACCAACCGATGATTTTAGTCGACTTATCTCGCTCGGGGGACGCCGATCGACCGATCGAGCCGAAGATGGACTCGCTTCCTCCGACCCCTTCTCTCCTCTAGCCTCTAGAATTCCACGTATTTTCCCATCCCGTGGAAAAGGAGAGAGAAAGGAAAAAAGAGAAAAAAAATCAGTCGATTTCGATTTATAATTCAAAGTTATTTCTGCTCGGCTCGATTTAACGGCAAAGGGGGAGCGCGAGAGTTCGAACAACGACCTAACGTCATCGTTGTTTAATAGGAATTTCCAGTAAGGCTGTTTGAAAGAGTACGGCCGCGTAACAAACACAGTATGAAAGTAACTTAACGCCGTTCGTATCGCGCGTACTCGTTCTCCCTTCATGCGCATAAGCGCACGCAGTTCCAGACTGCACGGGGGAGCGATTGAAAGAGTGACACGGCCAAACGCATGCGTTCAGGTTGTAGATTTCAATACCGCCGACGATAACACGTGCAACGGCTTTGCCTCGAGATCGGCGAATATAAAGAGCTCGGTAAAAAGCTTCTCCATTCATCGGATCGTTTGATCAAATGGATTTACAATCCGTGTATTCGAATCTCGCTTCCCGTTTCGTAATTACATATAACGACACCGTGGCGAGGCGAACAAGCGTTCGTCCCATCGTTTCGATAACGTTAGATTTGATAGATTTCAACGCGAGGAGGAGGGACGGAGAGGCGACGAGAAGCGAGGCGTTGCTCGATCGCCGCGTATTCGAGTTGTATCGGCGATGATTG